GTTCTGACAGATGAAACTCTTCAAAAGAACTCCGAGGCATTAAAGGATCTTTTATTCGAGTAGCATAATATCGGCACTACATAATCGAAGCCAAAAACTGAATTCCCCTTCCCTGGGCACATAGTATCAAAGCACAATTCCCTTCTCCAATTAACAGTCATAAATCACATTCTCCAATTAGCTTGAAATGCAGGCTTTCCCTCCAGTTCTCCAGTCAGCAGATTCTTATCATCTCTTATTTCAATAACCTTGATTCTCACGCTAAGTTTAGTATTGTTATGTCTAGGGAGACTCTCATTCACACACCCCCCCCCCCAGCATCATCTAACTCTAAAACCGAAAGGGAAAAAGATGGCTACATTTCCATCTATTGTCAATGCAAAAACATCCAATGTTAGCAGCGTTGACAAGAGGTTTTTCCGCGGACCGGAGGGTGCGTGGTTTTGTGTGCTGCCTGCATCTCGCGGATGGGGCTTTGCTTGTTTGTGTGGACCGGTTGCTGGCATGCCGCAGCCCGGTACTGATCCACAGACCGGGGGTTGGGGACCCCTGATCTAGAGGGTCATAGGTTCCCCAACCTTACCAGTGATTTGTGATTGTTCATCACAATGATGACTGTGGCAACATCCCCAGCGTCACGTGATCAAAATTCAGACGCTTGGCAACTGGCTCATATTTATGACGGTTGCAGCTTTCCGGGGTTAGGTGATCCCCTTTGGCGACCTTGTGACAGTCTAAGTCAATATGGGGAAGCCGGATTCGTTTAATGACCGTGTTACTAACTTAACAACTGCAGTGATTTGCTTTAACAACAGTGGTAATAAAGGTCCGAAAATGGGACAAAACTTAACTTAAGACTATCTCACTTAGCAATGGAAATTTTGGGCTCAACTGTAGTCGTAAGCCGAGGATTACCTGTAATACTTTTTTATATTATATGCCGACTTTATGTTATAAGCTGACTGTATGCTGCCCAGAGTTACCTTGAGGCAAGATGGGCTGCCGATTAATTTTGCAAACAAGTAAAAATGGATATTATAACCTGTCTTGGAGGGCTTCTCCCATATTTAAGTTGTCCTAAAAATGCATATCTCTTTCTACTTTGAGTCTTCACCTTACGCATTAGACCTGAAATGAAAGTTGCCATGATTCTTTGGCAACAATACCGAAATTGATTTTGCCCAACTTTTTACTTTAGCTGTGCAATTTCTCTGGCAGCCTCTTCTCCCAAGGACCAAGAAGGTCCTGTCCCTGCTTAGTAAGAGTGGCGATATGGCAACATTTTTTTTTCCAGCAATGGCTTTTGGCTCCATATTTGGTTTCCAAAGAATATTGGAACAGCTTTAATACACTTGAGCCGAGGTCTTCAAACTTGGCCCTTTTATGACTTGTGGACTTCAACTCCCAGAATTCCTCAGCCAGCCATGCTGACTGAGGAATTCTGGGAGTTGAAGTCCACAAGCCATAAAAGGGCCAAGTTTGAAGACCCCCTGTCTTAAAGCATCCTGGCTGAGGAATTCTGGGAGTTGAAGTCCACAAGCCATAAAAGGGCCAAGTTTGAAGACCCCTGCTCTTGAGCAAAGTTCACATTCAAAAAAGGCTTTGGAAGCATTATGCATTTCGTTTTTCAGTGAACTGTGCCACTTCCAGGTACTTTCTGGGCACAACCTGTGAAATTGTTATAATATTTACACCTGTCAGTGGTCAGGGTTCAATAATTTGAAGGAGTACTTTTCCTTTCCATTCTCTTCTAGTCTTCCCTGAATTCCACAATGTCCATGACTACGATTTCCTTCAAAAGCTAAAATTAGCTCAGTTCCCTTCCTTCCAATAGTAGCATCAATTTTAACCCAATCAAATCCAGCACAATACTTGACACTGCCTACAAGCTGAAAACAAGCAGCCCAGACCTCTATTCTTAAAAATAGCATCTTGCAATATTCACTGATACAAGAAAAAAAATAGATTTTGGAACTAAAACGATGGGAAAAGCAGCTCCACGGAAACAAGCATTGCAATGTACTTCCTTGGGACAGCAATGGTAAACTTTCAAAATTCCCAGGAAGACTGCTTAACAGCTGGCCAAATTCTTTTCTTACATGAAAGCTTCTCTGGAGCCTTTGAAAACCTATAATAACAATAGATGTTTGCTGTTAATTTGATGTTTTTACTAGTTGTTAGTTGTCTGATCAGCAATTAATTATGTGCAGGATGAGCTGGTCGCTGCAAAAAACATTCTAGAAAAGCCAGTTTTATCCCCGGTAGTAATGCAGACTAAAATTACTCCTAAATAATGGTTATATTCACTTCCCTATATAACTCAAAAGGTGCTCACGCTTTCTACCCCAGCAACCGTATTTATTTCATAGCAAACATCCTGATACAAAGAGTGACGTTGTTGAACTAAAAAAAAAAAAGTCTAGGGAAAAATATATAACCAGGAACTTTTTTTTACTTTGCATTGGAAATTTTTTGCAATTTGGGGAACGTACTGTGACTGACCTGAAATGTAATTTTTTTTGCACACACATACACACAAACCCTGGATGTTTTTTCTACTTCACACTACCGGACACAGGAAAATTCAATTAAACCTTGCATTTAGGCAGTTTCATTGCAAAGACAATACACAATTATCTGCAGGTTCATGCACTGAATTATGGACAAGTGAATGAGGGAATTGATCAAGATGGGCTTGGATCTGAGACACAGCAACTGCTCAAAGTCACCCAGTTGGATTTCATTGCCTGAGGCGGGACCAGAATTCATGATCTTCTTGTTTCTATCCTGGTGCCTATTATCACTACAGCAGGGGTCTTCAAACTTGGCCCTTTTATGACTTGTGGACTTCAACTCCCAGAATCCCTCAGCCAGGCACGCTGGCTGAGGAATTCTGGGAGTTGAAGTCCACAAGTTATAAAAGGGCCAAGTTTGAAGACCCCTGCACTACAGTGAACTGGCTCTCAAAGCCATATTTTAATCAGGGCCCACTAAATAAATGCTAGGTATATATAAGATGCTAAAGTCAAACTACATTATGGCTTAGTGCCGCAGAATTTAGTCAAGCAGCTCAGTTATCGTTTTCCACACGCCCAAAAGTATACCGTTGCTTTAGCAGCTTGTTTCCTGCCACGTAACCACACAAATGAGGTTTGCCGTAAAACAGACTAATCTGACAGGCAGTTCTCAAAAGCACAGCCATTTGCAAGAAAATCCATACGGATTATAAAAATGACATTTCATTCAATAGAGATGTAATTGGTATTGACAGTTGCCAGGCTGAATAAAGCAGGGGTCTTCAAACTTGGCCCTTTTATGACAGCGTACCTGGCCGAGGAATTCTGGGAGTTGAAGTCCACAAGTCATAAAAGGGCCAAGTTTGAAGACCCCTGAAGTAAAGGTTCTTCATTCTTTGGCTTATACATACAGTATCAAAATGTTTATTTATATTGATGGAAGCGAAGATCCGGTAGCTCAGGGTTGATCTATGGAGTCCTTAGCTTAGTTTTGTTGCAGACGTTTCATTACCATATTATGTGACATTAGCAGTGCTAAAAGGGAGTGTGGTTTGCTCTCAGTTCATATACTAGAAGAAAATATTTAACAAAACAACAGAATTGGAAGGGACCTTGAGGATCAGGGGCTGCCACAAAGAAGAGGGAGTCAAGCTATTCTCCAAGGCGCCTGAAGGCAGGACAAGAAGCAACGGATGGAAACTAATCAAGGAGAGAAGCAACCTAGAACTAAGGAGAAACTTCCTAATAGTTAGAACAATTAACCAGTGGAACAACCTGCCTCCACAAGCGGTGAATGCTCCAACACTGGAAGTTTTTAAGAAGAGACTGGACAGCCATTTGTCTGAAATGGTTTAGGGCAGAGGTGGCAAACCTATGGCACGGGTGCCAGAGGCAGCGCTCAGAGCCTTCTCTGTGGGCACGTGCGCCATCACCCCAGTCCTAGGTCTTCAGCTGGGTTTTATAAAACCTTTTTGTTTTAGACCTCCGCCACCATGTAAAAAAAAAAAAGGTTCAATCAATCAGTCAATTTCAACTTCTCGCGGGAAAAAAAAGATCTTGCAAAGTTGGAATTGATTGATCGAACTTTTTAGTCCCATCCAGTCTGCCGTTACCCCTGCAGCCACGCCTACCCAATGGGCCACACCCACCTTGCACCCAACGATGCATAAGTGGGTTTTGGGTTACAGTTTGGGCACTCGGTCTCTAAAAGGTTCGCCATCACTGGTATAGGGTCTCCTGCTTGAGCAGGGGGTTGGACTCAATGACCTCCAAGGTCCCTTCCAACTTTTTTTTATCGTCATCATCATCTAGCCTCACCTCCTGTTCAGTCAGAAAACCCTTTATTTGTAGCTCAGGACTGAATTGTGGCATCCTTGGTGCTCTCTGACATGTCATAATACAAAGATTGCAGCGTCTGTAAGATCGCAAGTTATCCCACTGCTTTCGGTTCAAATTTAACATAACGTGAAATGGTACATAGGGCCTCCTGCTTGAGCAGTAGGAGTGGATTAGAAGACCTTCAAGGGGTCTTCCAACCCTGTTATTCTGTACAACCTTTGACGAGTGCCAGAATGCCTTAGGAGAGCCCGACGAGGATTAAGAAAGATCCCGAGAAACAAAAGCATCCAGATCTGTCAAGCGGTTGCCCTCCAAAGGGGGTTGGACTACAGCTCCCATCATCCTGGGAAAGCCTGGCCCTGGCTGCCCACGAGGAGCACTGTGGCTGAATGCAGCGGGGCTTTGAGGCAGCAAGTCAGGTGCAACATCTGGAGCAGGGGATCTTCACACTTGGCCCTTTTACGACTTGTGGACTTCAACTCCCAGAATTCCTCAGCCAGCTATGATGGCTGAGGAATTCTGGGAGTTGAAGTCCACAAGTCGTAAAAGGGCCACGTTTGAAGACCCCTGATCTGGAGCCTTCCAGATGCGAGACTGCAAATGGGACTCCAGGGCCACGAGGGAGGGAGGGAGACGCTCGCTCACCCGCGGCCGGTCCTTGGAAATAGGGAAGAAGCGGCGGTTGAAGCTGTCGGCCACCAGGACGGCCTGCAGCGGAGGCGGCGGCTCCTCTTGGGGCTCCGACCCCCGCGAGCCCCCGGACCCGGCGCCACGCTTCCCAGCAGGACCGCGGGCCGCCATGCCGCCTCGCGCTCTCCCACGCTTTGGGCTGCGCCTCTTCCGTTTCCGGAAGAAACCAGGGTGAGGGTGGGGGGAAAGAGACGGTGTCTCGCGGAGGACAAAAGATCTTCCAACGCAAATGCGGCCGGCGAATACGAAGGCGGGGCGGGGCGGGGCGGGGCGTGACGGGGGGAGGCGCGTTGTAGAGCGATGTGTGATTTCCACCGGGCGGGAGATACGGAGCTGTTAAAAGTTGAATGAAGCATGAATTGAATGAAATAGGATTAGGATTAGGATTAGGATTAGGATTAGGATTAGGATTGGAATAGCATAGCATAGCATAGCATAGCATAGCATAGCATAGCATAGCATAGAGTAGAAAATATGGAATAGGATGGAATGAAATAGAATAGAAAATAGAATAGAATAGAAAATATGGGATGGGATGGGATGGGATGGAATAGTATAGAATACAGGCACAGGCTGGTGGGGATGAGTTGGTATTGTCTGCTTCTCAAATTGTAGCACAAATGGTTCCTGTAGTCTGAAATTTTAACCACCTGAGGAGGGGAAATGGTGTGGAGCTGTGCTTTCTGCTCAACCTAAAGCTCCAGACCCATTTGCACTACTCAGGTGGCCCTGAGGACACAGATAAACCTCCAGGTGGCCTCAATGACTCTCTAAAACAGTGTTTCTCAACCTTGACCATTTTAAGGCATGTGGACTTCAACTCCCAGAATTCCACAGCCAGCATTGCTGGCTGTGGAATTCTGGGAGATGAAGTCCACATGCCTTAAAATTGTCAAGATTGAGAAACACTGCTCTAAAAGAAGGCAAATGACCAGCTGTCTGCAAGGAGTATAAATCCTTCCATTTCCCATCGTCCAGTCAGAGCTGAAGAAGCTTCTGGGATGAGAAGCGAAACGTCTTCAAAGGAAAAACAAAGTCCAGTTGCCTCCTGAAAAAACACATTTGGGACAGCCATGACCTGGATGACTGAGAATCTCCATAGAGGTTAAAGATCCTACATGCTCCCCATGGTGTCTTCGGCTTCAGTCAATATAGCACAAGGTTTGGTGAAAGGACTACACAGGATGAGTGTAACAAAGCTTTTTAATGTGCTGTGTAAAGACCCACATAAAACAGGCGATATCCTGTGATCTAGCATGGCAATTCAGCTCAGACAGAGTTCCGTATGTTTCATACGTACAATTCTTTTAAGGCCAGCTTTTGCTCTGGCTGAAACATTCTTACTCCAGCTGTTTCCCAGATTTTTGAGACAGCTTTGAATTCCCAGACAGTCATGAAAAGACAGATGTCTCTGTAAGGGAACCAGTGTAACCAAGAACATCCTACAGCTTCACCTAAAAGGTAAAGAACAACTAACTAATGGAGCTGCTTGCTTTCAAAAGTTGTGGGTGCTCCATCATTAGTAGCTTTTAAGAAGACCACTTGTCTGAAATGGAATAGGGTCTCCTGTGTGAGCAGAGGGTTGGACTAGATGACCTCCAAGGCCCCTTCCAATTCTGCTATTCTGCATTTGGACTGCTTCCATTTGTTTCCAAAGAGCTGTAAAAACGTGGCTCTTTGGGGGAGCATTGCAAGACAGATAAATATCATTCACCAATACAAAGTATACATCAGGTTGTCAGTGTTTATATGCTTTTGGGTTTAATTTCACATATACCGTTCCTATTTGTTTCAGAGGCTGCTGGCATCGAGCAGCACCAAAGCCAGAGGAAATAAATAGTTTTTCACTGAGCACGTCAGTGAGTAAAAGTTCCAGGAAGTCCTGAGTTTGCCATAGAGCAGTAAACTTTTAGAGCCCAAGTGCCCAAACTGCAACCCAAAACCCACTTATTTATCGCCGGCTGCCGGGTGGGTGTGGCTGTGGTCATGGCAAACTGGGTGGGTGTGGCCAAGGTGGGGGTGGTCACCTCGATGTTGCTCGTGGGGAGGGACGCCTCTGGGGGCCGGGCAGGGTTCGGGGAGATCCAGGGGGTCACTGGCAAGTGGGGCGGTGGGCAGGAGGCTCGTCCTGCGGGGTGAGGCGAGGCAAGGCGAGGCAGGGCGGGGGTGCCATTGTCGCGAGGCAGGGGCCAGGGCGGCTGCTGCCTGATGCCATTGGCCCCCGCACACAGAGGCCAGCGAGCACATGGGGACCTACAGTGTCTTTCAGTAGTCTCAGCCACAGCCTGCCGCCCCGTCGACCAGCGCACTCTGGGGCTCCGCAGCCCACTGCCAGCAGTTCAGAGAAGCCACCTCTAAGCTGGATGGCCGGCCGACAGCTGAGGAAGCGATGCAGTGGGTCGTGCCCAGGAAAAGGAGAGCATGCGAGGCCAGGAGGGATGGGATGTGGGGAGGGGAACCAGCCATGTTGGGATGCATCTGGCCACGTGAGAGTTCAGCGAGTTAGCGGGCGACTGGTTGAAGAGAGACGGTTGCCATCTCCAGGGCATGGTGCGCGTGCCCACAGAGAGGCTCTGAGTGCCGCCTCTGTCACCCGTGCCACAGATTCACCACCGCTGCCATAGAGATGAATCTTGCTGGACTTGAATTTCATTCCTGCGTTACTTCCTTAGAAGCAGATCCAGCATGAAGGAGGAAACTGACACTAAACAAATATAAAGTTCTCTTCAGGCCAAAGAGCCGACTCTGCTTATGTAAGCCAGGCATGTCTTTCTGTGATCCAGCTTCCAACTATGGCTCCCCATGTGCTAGCACAAATTTAGTAAGCCAAACTCTCCAGGCATGTTTAAACATTACAACCATCACTTGTGAGCAGAAATGTTTCGCCATTTGTATTCGTCCAATAAATGATCCTCTAATTGTTGTGACCATAATTTACGGGTCATCTAACCGGGCAGGATAGGGCAAAACATTAGGAATTATTAACAAATTGACTGTCCTTATTAGTTTGGCTTTCTCATGAGCAAGTCCCTGGCTCACCACAGGATGGAGCTATAGCACCGTCTAGCGCAAAGTTTGGTTTGGTTTACAGATGAAACCAGACGTTCCCAATCTGTTGTCAATTAGTTGTCTTCTACTGGCTTTGGATTTTAATTGATTTATTATAAAATCTAGAATGTAGAGGTTGGAAGGACCTTATTCACATAAGTCCGACCTTCAGCCTGGTCTGTGAACCCAGTTCTAAACCATCTCCAATGAATGGCTGTCCAGCCTCTGCTTAAACCAGAGGTGTCCAAACGTAGCAATTTAAAGATTTGTGGACTTCCACCAGCTGGCTGGGGAATCCTGGGAGTTGAAGTCCAGAAGTCATAAAAGGGCCAAGTTTGAAGACCCCAGGCTTAAAAACTTCCAGTGGATGAGATTTCATCACCTCCCAAAATTTCAGCTAGGATAATCTCCAATGTGGCTAGAGACTGTGTGGAAGCTCAATGCATAAGGACCCATAAGTTGGAAAGAGCTTACTCACACAATTATGCTAAACAAAATGTTAGATTTCCAGATCCAACAATGGGAAGTATGGGAGTATATGTCTATGGAGATAGACGTATAATCCCATTCAGTTTTGGTCACCATGATGTAAAAAAGATGTTGAGACTCTAGAAAGAGTGCAGAGAAGAGCAACAAAGATGATCAGGGGACTGGAGGCTAAAACATATAAAGAACATTTGCTGGAATTGGATATGCCTAGTTTAATGAAGAGTAGGAAGAGGGATGACATGATAGCAGCCTTCCAATATCTCAGGGGCTGCCCCAAAGAAGAGGGAGTCAAGCTCTTCTCCAAAGCACCTGAAGACAGCACAAGAAGCAACAGATGGAAACTGACCAAAGAGAGAAGCAACCTAGAAGTAAGGAGAAACTTCCTGACAGTGAGGACAATTAACCAGTGGAACAACCTGCCTCCAGAAGCAGTAGTATATTCCAACACTGGAAGTTTTTAAGAAGAGACTTGGCAGCCTTTTGTCCGAAATGGTATAGGGTTTCCTGCCGGAGCAGGGGGTTGGACTGGATGACCTCCAAGGTCCCTTCCAACTTTATTATTATTATTATTGATCATCGCACAGTCAGCCAGATGTTCAGACTGGATTTGGCATTTTGTCTACCTATCGAGTCCTTACCCAGGACCTAGGATAGGCAGATGTGGATGTTTGATGGTATTACAGATATCGTCGCAGGATGGAAGCAGTTCCTAAAAAGGCCGCCTTTTGCAATTGACTAATAGCAAATTTGTCAATGCCAATGGTGTTCAAGTGGTGCTCCAGTTGTTTTGGGATTGCACCCAAGAAGCCTATCATTATTGGTACTACCCTTGCTTGCTTTTGCCACAGTCTTTCTATTTCTATTTGTAGATCTTTGTATTTTGTTATCTTCTCCAGTTCTTTCTCATCTATTCTGCTGTCTCCAGGCACTGCCATGTCCACTATCCAGACTTTTTTGTGTTTCTTATGGACAATTGTTAAGTCAGGGGTGTTATGTTGCAGGTGCTTGTCTGTTTGAATTCTGAAGTCCCACAGCAGTTTAATTTTATCATTTTCTATGACTTTCTCTATTTTATGATCCCACCAGTTCTTGCTTACAGGCAAAAGATATTTTTTGCAGATCTTCCAATGCACCATTGTTGCTACTTTGTCATGCCGCTGCTTGTAGTCAGTCTGTGCAATCTTCTTGCAACAGCTTACCAGGTGGTTCACTGTTTCTTCAGCTTCTTTGTATTATTATTATTACTATTATTATTATTATTATTATTATTATTATTATTATTATTACTACTACTATTACTATTATTATTATTATTATTATTATTATTCTAGAACAGCCTTTCCCAACTTGATGCCTTCTAGATGTGTTCGATTTCCACTCCCATAGCCCCCAGTCAACATGCCCACTGTCCCTAGGAGTGGGAACACAATGTGCAATATGCAAACACTTTTCTACTTATACAAAACCCTGAGATGCCTTGAGGTGACAAATTTTGAGAATTTGCCCTTCTCTAGTATTCAGGATTTAAAAAACAAACAAAAAACAAAAAAAAAAAAAACAACCAGCATCTGTAATTCCCTTCTGGTTAATGCTTGTTGTTCAGAATTCCTACCAGC